GTATAGTATTTGTCTCTGTTAGATATGCATCCCATGTAAATGTAGTAGGATCGTATCCCTTTGGTGGTGTAAGTGGTAATCCATGTTGAGAACAAAATCCAATTGGAAAAATACATGGTGAACATGAATGATAGCAAAACCAATCAGCACCACTTGCATCTTCATCATAACTATCTATACGGATCATTATGTAATCCTCTTTTAAAACTTGCATAACTGTTGCTGCACAAATGGCAGAGAGATTAAGAGGATCAATGGCTTCTATTTTCATTCCTTCTCGAAATGTGTATCCAAGGTGTACATGATGGTTCTTTGGCACGTAAAAAAGATCTTCGGTTGCGTCGTCTTCACATAACTTTAATTTTGACACACGCTCCAAATATTCAGGATATGCATCCAATGTCTGTCCTACCCGTTTGGCCCAGCCAACAGGATGTATAAGAGGAGAATCTTCGTGGCACCAAAAACCATTGTCTTCGGGTGGTGAGTCGTAGTATCTTACGTGTAAACGTTTACCCACAATTTTTTGTATTGTTGCTACTTTTACCTGTGAGATTCTATTTTTATCTACTACTTCCAAGTGGAGTCCACATCTAAAACGTGACTTCATACTATCGTTAACTTTATTATAAAAATTAGTTGGCAGTGTTCTTGCACCAGTTAATCGTCTCATTAGAAAATCCTTCCAGTCTTTGTACTTGTTAGCAATTGCTATAAAAAAGAGTCAGGATTAATTAGTACTAATTTTACATAAACAAAAATTAAAAATAGAAATGAGTGGATCATGAAGAATAATTACTTACTATTAGGTGGAATGAGAGGTTTTCCAATAGTAGCGCACCACCCTACTGGATGTATGTCATTCGAGCACAAAGATACCCAGAAATCTTTATCAGCATTTAGTCCAAAACCCTCGTACCTTAACAAAGCTCTATACCCAGATATACGTAACACAGTAGCAACCCAAAAAGAATCTGGGAAAGCTTCACATACTTCATCACAATCTGTATTTTCCACTTCTACTTTCATACCAACTGTTATATTATCCCATATTTCTGATATAGGTGCCTAATAAGGTGAAACATTAAATTTTCAGTAAAATGTGAATAAAACATAAAATGCAAATAACTAAAATATTAAAAACTAACATGTTTAAAACAAGACACTGGAGCAGCACAAAATCCAGGTTCAACTAGTTGTGGAGTCCAGTCATAAGAACCTGCCATTTCAGCAGTTCTTTTTCTTCTTACAGGTAAATCCTCTGGCATTACCAGTTCAGATATAACCTTCTCTTTTTCTAATTCAGTAGTTTCTTTTACATCTGTTTCTTCTTTCTCTAAGGCCTAAAATATTTAAACTGTATACCATTTTTCATAATACATACTTAATTATACATGTTTAAGTCACACAACTTACATTTTTTACTAATTTAGAATCATTTGAAAAAGTTGGATTTACAGATGTAGGTGTCTCTACTGAATGTGATGGACTATATGTGGAATCAGCAGTGGGAGCTGTATGCTCTGAAGATCGTGCACATGCTCTACTACAAAATCGACGTTCTTTTGTATAAAATGCATGTTTTACACCAATAGCACCACATTTTTCACAAACAGCTGCAAAAAAATAAAAGAGGCTTGTGATTAAGCATTTATTCACAATTTATAATTATAATTTCAGTATATCTTACCTATACCATCCTTACGAATGGGAATAAAATTTAAGTCTGTGTGTGGTTGGTATGCAATTGGTGTTTTTAAAACAAGTCCAGGATGTTTTATAGGTTTTATTTTCCTGTTACGATTGTCTTGAGTAGTTTGTGTTGCTGCATTGTTTACAACTTGCTCCCTTTCTTCATCACCCATGTAATCTTCTAATGTTAAATATTCAGTCATTTCTTGCCTTTCAGATTGTGAATCATATTCCTGAAAAGTAATAACAGCAATAATAAATACAAAATGAAATATGAATATAATACTTAAATTACTTATATTAATTTCAACATAAATTTAATTTGTATGATACTAAAAAAAAATTAATTTACCTGTTGTATTTCTTGAGTATCAACAGCTTCCATTGCTTCGTCAGGTTCTGAACATTCATTAGGAAACTGAGGTGGTAGATATCGTACCATAGTTGTAGGTGCGATTTGATGATTCCTAATGTCTTCATATGGATTTGAACCATGAGAGAAAAATGGGCTTTCGGCTTGACGTGGGTCCAACATAAGCTCATGTGTAGGTTCTCCATGTACCATCATATCTCCCATCCATACCATCCCTAGTTCCGGTATTCCAGGGATGGAGGCATACACTGAATTCATACAAATATCCATTCCTATATTCACATAATGATTGAAATATTACTTTTAGACAGATTATGTAAAACAATAATTTTTAGCGTCGCATAACAAAACATTATAAAGAAATAACAACTTCTTGGTGTAGAACAAATTATTTCATACAAATACATTGATTTTGACGAAGTTAAAGCATTTAATAGACGCGAGTACTTTTAATTCATGCAGAAAAATTTATTTAACGAAGTATGATGCACGATATGATGTATAACACAAAAACGGTTTTTCAAATTGATGCTATCATATTTGAATTCCATTCAGTATCGTATAAAATGTAAAAAAAAACTCAATATGATTTATCTCTCAAAGCGACGCCGAAGCTTTGAAAATCAACATTTATTCAACCTTTTCCACTGGGAAACATTTTTCAAAAGAAGAAGTTTCTCTTTGAAGATACACCATATCCTGTGTAAAGTATTCAATCCCAAGATCATAAATTACGATGTAATTTAACGCGCGAACATATCACACAGCGTAGGAAAACAAGTACGAACCATTAGAAGCTTGCATGTCCATGACAAAGCAGGGCCAGAAAACTCCTGTATATTCAAGTGGTGTACAAATTGCTACGCCATCTGATATGAATCATTATTATTACATAGGGTGGGCGGTTTGTACAAAATTTTATTTCCAATTCTTTATTATTTCATAATACAAATCTAATACGAAGAAGCCGAAACAAAATATCAAACAATTACTACAGCTTATGTTAATGTCAAATTGCATAATTTCAGTTTAATTAGTATGCTGGGGTGATAATTTGAGAGCAAGTATATTACGAAAACAAAAAATGTTAAAATATTTTTAACTGTATACGTATAATAATACTGATGAGTAGTATCCTAAGAATTTCGATTGTTACGTTCGTTAATATAAATTATGAAGTAACCAATCTCGATATTGTATTATGTACTCTTAACAATGCCCTCTTTAGGTAATTCCAATCATTGGTAATAAATAATTGCTTTTCAAAGACTATGCCCAAATTAATTATTATATAGTTTTCTTCGAAAACATTTTCAATTTTTCTATATTTAAAATGAGTTACTATTTATATGATTGAATTCTATTTAATTTCATTTAAGCACAAATATCATTTCTGACACTTAATACCTGTGTTCCTGTGTACTTTAAATCTAAAAGTTTTATGCACTGCTCATTCGATGCATTAAACTGATAATACATTTGTAATAATAGGAATATACACTAGCTGTACATTTAATTGTTTAATAAATAGCATGTAAACATGCATATGTATGTAGGTGAAATATATTTCACACAAAGTTACAATTTTATAGAATAATTCAAATTCGTTAAAAAAAATCGAATACAATTTTTTATCTCTTATTTTCTACAAAAAATAATATAACAATTCTTATTCATTCAATAATGAAATTAATTATCTATTACATTTTCATTACTCTTTTGTATATTGATTATATGATTAGGTAGAAAATTTATATATTAATTTTTTGGATAGTTATGAAAACTTAAATTATAATTTCTCTCTAAAAATTGCATATGTAATGATAATTGATAAAATGATAACTATTATGCGTATACATATGTATGTAGTGAGTTGCAATGATTCTTGCCAAAACCATAGAACTAAACAAACGCACAACGGCGGTGGTTCTATGTGAAATGGCGTATAATGCGCAAGCGACATGCGCGGAAATCATTCTGATACCAGGTGTCTAACAGTTCGTATCGAAGTGGTTGTGGTGTTTATTTGGTGTCAATAAATTGGTAATTGACGTTCTATATAGTTCATATTATGACTTTTATTCTTCATGAAGAATAGTTTTCGAATTATATGTTTATAACCAATAATTATACGTATTGTTTAAATGAATGCAGTGCTGCATGCAATGTTCCATCACAATATATAAATTATCACAGAAATGAAGAAATACAACTACAAATAATGTAACATAGAATACATACTTCTGTTAAAAGAAAATATATCGACATGTAACAAAAAACGTAACAAGATTGAAATTGTTTATTACCAAAATACAGGTTTCTTTAGTGCTATATTTTGTTTCATGAATACTTTCAATGCTTGTTGTAATTAACAATAAAATATTGGATAAGCAAAGTGTACACGTACACATTCCTAGAAACAAATTATAGCTGAATTTTAAACAAAACAATGTTTCTTTATAATACAAATTTATTTATTCATAGCCACTTCTATGCGAACTGTTAGACGGATGATGTCAGAAATTATTTCTACACATACTCCATTTCACATAAAACCATTGCTGTCTTGCATTTGTGTTAGGATTTCGGTAAAGATCAATGAAATGCAATATATGTATATATATATGACAGCAATGGTATTTTCCCATATCTTTTACATACTTAAGGATTACCTAACCATTTCATATTCAAGTCTTCATGACTTGCAACATTATTTTCACGTACTGAACTTTAACTTTTTATATGTCTATTTGTTTACAAGAGCTGGTGTTATAATTAATCTGGCAGTACCAATTTGTGACACTACTTGTCTTATAATTATATTGAAATAATAATTTTGTAATATTATATTTACATTTTTTATTATTTAAAAACTTGTTACTGCAGAAAAATATATTAGTGGCATGTAAATTTATATTTTTTAAATAGAAACAACATGAATCAAGCACATCAGGAACCAACAGAAATGAAGTTCCCCGTACCATGGGGACATATTGCAGCAAAGAGTTATGGATCTTCAAAAGAAAAAAAAATTCTAGTGGTACATGGAATTCTGGATAATGCTGGTTCATTTGACAGATTAATAAAACTTCTTCCAGAAGAATATCATTATGTATGCATAGATTTACCAGGTCATGGATTGTCATCTTTCCTTCCATCTGGAGGAATTGTACATTTTTTTGATTATGTGCATTCAATATTGTTAGTTTTGAATGCTTTAAAATGGAAAACTTGTATATATATTGGGCATAGTTTTGGGGCTCAATTAGGAACATATTTCAGTATTTTATATCCTGGAAGGCTTGAAAAGATGATAGCAATTGACTCTGTTATAAATCCTGGAATTGAGGGTCTTGCTCTTGTTCCTTATATTCGAAAGGTATATAGTTTGTATTCTAGTACTGAAAGGTCAGAAACTCTATATAGTGAAGATGAAATAATGCAAGCTTTGAAATTTAAAAGAAAGGAAGTATTAAGAACAGAAGCTGCACAAGCTCTATTTAAACGTGCAGTTACAAAAGTTGGTGACTTGTATAAATATAATCGTGATTCAAGATTAAGACATATTCCAAAACCAATTTTAACAATAAAACAACAAATAGATATATTCAGTCAATTTTCAACTCCAATTTTAGTAATTATAGCAGACAATACACATCGAATAAATTTATTAAAGGGTGAATTGAATGCAATACTTAGTGCAGCTGACAAAAGTAAATTTTCTGTAGTTACTGTAAAAGGAAATCATGATGTACATAATAATTTTCCTGAAAGAGTAGCACCATATATATGGAAATTTTTAAATAATACCTTACAAAGTAAATTATAAAATTTAATTTGAAGAAGTTTGACTTTATTTAAAACTGTGGACTATGGGTATATGGTAATATATTTACTATGAATTTGTTTACTTATTTTTATGTATTTTTGTATATTTTATTGCATGTATATGCATTTAATTTACAGTATCTTTATTGTACATTGTCCTTATTGAAATATCTAAAAATATACTGTCCATGAAAGAATGATTGCATAAATTATGAGGCATTGAAATCATTTGACTTTTACTCTAATTACACCTTCAGCTTGTTGCACTTTTAAACACACTTCATTACCTTGTAAAATTGTATTCTTTAACTCATCTTCTAGTAATATTGCTGTATGATTCATAAATGATCTATTTCGTTTTGTATCATAATTATGATTTAATGTTAATCTGACTTTGTACCAGCAAATTAAAGCATTTGGCAATGATTTATTATTAGTTGCACTTATCTTTCCAAAATTGATCACACGTTCAGCAACTTCATTTTCTCTCATTTCTATTAATACATTTACATCAGATAATGCTTTATATAAATATAAACTTGAATTTAAATCAAAAATTTGATTTATCTGTAACATACTAAATAACATTAGAAAAATGTATGACACTTTATTTTTTTTCTTAAAACACCTTGTATCTTACCTTAAATTCATTGATATGCTGTGCAATACCATAAGAAATTGTGCTATTAAAGACATTATGAATTTCCTGTAAAAAAGATATTTAAAAATTATTCTTTATTATTTTTCATGTTAACGACATTTATAATCATAATGAAATTGCTTTAGATATATATTTTTACAAATAAACCTTCTCAAAATTTGATGTATTAAATGTAAGTTTTGATATATCTTGTAAGTTTTCATCTTTTACATAAACCATATTTGGCAAATCTTCTGAAAATACAAGTTGACCTACAAAAAATATCTGTTCAGGCAATAAAATGCCATTTGGTTTAAGTAAACATCTGTAAAAAAAAATCAAAATGTTTTATTATCGTAAGAAAACGCAATTACATACTGGTATAATTTTAAAATTTATTTTTACCGAAAAAATTCTTGATTGTGCTCTTCACTACAATCTCTCAATTCTCCTTTAATATCAAAATCATGAATAAATATAGTATCTAATGAAACTTTAATATGATTGTACTTTGATACAATACATAGTTTATCCTTGAAACTGTTTTGCTCAGCTATTTGTTTGATGAACTGGTGAAATGTTGTGTTTTCACTTTTATAATATAAAATTTTGCTATGCTTATTTTCTTTTAATAACATTAATCCGTAAATTGGAAATGGAGAAGTATCCAAGATACTGTATATTTCTTTGTTAATCAATGATTTGCTAACTTCAATAAGTAATTTTATATATTCAAAATCATTCAAAAATGTTATAATTTCTTTTGGTAAACGATATAAAAATTTATTATTATTGTATTCATGAAATTGAGAATCATTTGATGTATATGAACATTTAAGTTTCCCTTTCAGCATTTCTCCTTTAAATATTATTGTATCACCTTCGTTTATTAATTTTGGTATTGATGGGAACACAGCCACTTGCCAACAGGATTTCTTTTCTGAAGTGTCTAGTGTAATCTCTTCATCAAGATGTAACTTAAACCAAGCTATTAAACCATCTATAGCACCACTACACCTACATTTTACATCTACTATATTTTTTGTGCCATCTGTATTAAATTGTTGTAAATCTGATAAATCATTAAAGTTAATATGTAAGAGAGCTGTGGGTTCTGTTATATAACTAACATTAACATTTTTTAAATTTTCTGTATCATAATATTCTTCATCTAGTAATACAGATACATTATCAAAATTTAAAGGACAAAAGTGTTTTAATTTATCAAACATCACAGTTGATTTGTGTTTTATATATTCACATTCAACAGCAGCTATATAAAGTGTAGCTCCAATAGGTATAACAATACCATTTTTATCCAAAATATTTGAATGCACACTTATCATAGATGGTATCACATGTTCTCCAAATAAACCAGCATCAAAGGTTTCTGTTACAAATAAATTAGAGTAAATAAAAAACAAATATGTCATTTTTTTTAGTAAAAGCAATTTGATCATTTCTAAAGTAAATTTGACATCTAATTGGATTGTATCAATTATAGCAGAACTAACCTGTCTGTAATGTCAGTAGGAATTACAAGGTCTGAAGAAAATTTAGGTAATAATATTATGTCTTCAGCATCATTTGTTTTAAATACTTTCTCAGCAATTTTTAGCATTACTGGTGAACATTCACATGCATAAATTTTTTTTGCACCTGCATTTCGTGCGTATAAACTTAATAAGCCTGTACCAGTTCCTACATCTAATACAGTATTATAGCCTTGAGAGATTCTCTTTCGAATTGCATACTCAAAAGCATTGTTCCTACATTTGTCATTTAACATTGGAAAATGCCATCTGTCTACAGCCATACTAAATGCATTTTGCAAGTTTCTCTCTGCTGGCAAAAAATTAGGATTGGCTTGCAGAGCTCTCTTTAAATATATTATGGCCTCTATTGGATCATTATTCCTTTAACAACATTTATCCTGATTATAGGGAATTTTAGCGGTCATGATATCTGTCATGTTAAAAAATAAATTTAAAATTGACTAATAATAAATTTACCTAAACAATGATTTTAATGACCTGAACAATGAATTTAAATTACCTTAAGAGATGAGCTGCAAAATTATTTAACATTCGTGGATTATTTGGAAAAATATCTAAGGAATGTTTATAACACAAAACAACATCAGTAAATCTGTTTTCACATGCTAATTGTATTCCCCATTGACCTAAGAAATAAATGTCTGTTAATTTTTGTTTCTTAAGAAAATATTATAAGCACAAGATTACACATACAAAGGACATCAACAAATGCTTCTTCAATATCTGGTCTTTTTGGAGGACATAA